CTTAAACGAGGAGACCTAACCGATCGACAAAGGTTAGATCAACTCTTCAATAACATCGACCTGCAACACGGTTCTGCGACTGACATGTTGCAAAGAATGAGAGAAGTGAGAGGCCTAAGGACTTTCGACGAAGGTCTATTTAAACAACTTTTCTTGTCTAAACTTCCTCAACAGGTGCAAGCGGTTCTGGTCTCGTTTCAAAACAACGCCTTAGACGAGCTAGCTGCATCTGCCGATCGTATTTTAGAAATAACGAAATCGTCTACTTCAGAGGTATTTTCCTTCAAAGAAAAGCCTCACACGACTCAGAATGACATAACCGAGTTATGTCATACACTCACGCGTTATCTTAATCTTCGTAACGACCGTAGTCGCTCACGCAGTCCACGTAGAAGCATTTCGCGTAAACGATCTGTCTCTAGACCACGAGAGACGGATAACCCTGACTGGTGCTGGTATCATAACCATTATGGAAAATCTTCCAGAAATTGCAGAAAACCCTGCAATTTTCCTAACACGAAAACGACTGACTCGAAAAACAATTCGGGAAACTTCCCAGCCGTTACGCGTTAACGGCAACCGTAGCCGGCGAACATAGCCGTCTGTTGTACGTCACAGATGTGACAACGAGAGTTCGCTACCTCGTCGACACTGGCGCAGAAGTTAGCGTTCTCCCAGCAAATCATAACGACCGGCTCCACAAATCAACTCTAAACTTACAGGCGGAAAACGGAAAACCGATCGCCACGTATGGCAAAAGTTTCGTCTACCTTAACGTGGGTTTACGCAAACCCATTCATTGGATTTTCGTTGTTGCAGATGTTTCTATGTCAATCATTGGTATGGATCTTCTACAACATCATAATCTAATCATCGACACGCGCAAACGGAGGCTAGTAGACGGAAATACTAAACTATTCGTTTGCGTAACTTCTTTTTCTGGTTGTAGATTATCCCCAGTCACAGTTAAGCATATGATAGACCCACTCTATCAACCACTACTCGATAAGTACCCTGGGATACAACAAACTCAACCGAAACTACCGTGTGTAACCAGCAATGTTACACATCACATCACGACTAAAGGACCACCTGTATTCTCAAAAGCACGACGACTAGCTCCTGAAAAGCTAAGGTTAGCGAAAAACGAATTCGATCACATGATAGACTTAGGAATCATACGACCGTCAAACAGCCCTTATGCATCTCCGTTGCACATGGTCCCTAAAAAGAACAGCAACGATTGGCGTCCAACTGGTGACTATCGGCGATTGAATGCAAAAACCATTCCCGATCGTTACCCGTTGCCTCACATTCACGATTTGACAGCTAGCTTGAAAGGTACAACTGTCTTTTCGAAAATCGACTTGGTTAAAGCGTATAACCAAATCCCTATGGCTAAAAACGACATACCAAAAACAGCTATCATAACTCCGTTCGGACTCTATGAATTTTCGCGAATGCCGTTCGGTCTAAGAAACGCTGCGCAAACTTTCCAAAGATTCATAGACGACGTCTTTCGAGGTCTCAACTTCGTACATGCGTATGTTGATGACTGCTTAATCGCAAGTCCGGACAGAGAATCACATCTCAAGCATCTGGATCTTGTTTTCGAACTATTACAAAAAAATGGCATTACTGTAAACGTTCAGAAATGCCAATTCGGAACCGACTCGTTAGACATCCTAGGACACACTATTGATGCTCAAAGCATTCGACCTCTTGGGACCAAAGTGGCGGCCATTCTGTATTACCCAGAAGCGACCAACGTCAAGCAATTACGCACGTTTAACGGCCGGATAAGTTTCTATAGACGCTTCATACCGAAATGCGCATTACTTATGAAACCTCTTACTGACCAACTTCGTGGAAATGCGAAATCCATTAATTTGGACGACGCCGCACGAAGAGCATTCTCCACAGTTAAGGAACTGATCGCTAAAGCAACAATGCTCGCACATCAGGACACTGAAGCACCCATTAGTATCGCAGTAGACGCATCCGACTCGGCAATCGAAGGAGTCTTACAACAATGGATTAACAACTCCTGGCAACCCTAGGCATTTTTCTCTAGACGGTTGCTAGACACCGAATCGAGATACAGCACATTCGGTAAGGAACTCCTAGCTATATACTGTGCTGTACGGCATTTTCAGCACTATATCGAAGGCCGTGAATTCACTCTATTCACTGACCATAAACCGCTCACTTTCTCGTTAAGCTCTCCTTCAGACAAGTACTCTCCCCGTGAGTCTCGACAACTGGACTACATTTCGCAGTTTACTTCAGATATTCAACATATTTCTGGAGCAAACAATGTAGTTGCAGACGCCTTGTCTCGAATAAATTCCGTGAACAGTTTCCAAGGAATCGACCTTATGAAACTCGCCCAGCTTCAAAAAGAAGACACTGATCTTCTACAAGAGTTATCGTCCACAACCCTTAAACTACGCATCAAACAGATGGGAACAGGTAAGGAAACCTTACTTTGTGACACATCTACAGGTAGAGATCGCCCAATCGTCCCGAAACATTATCGACGCGATGTCTTCAACACATTGCACAAACTTTCTCATCCAGGTGTTCGTGCAACCATCAAGCTTATAGCAGAACGGTTTTGCTGGCCTGGTATGAATAAAGACGTGAGGGAGTGGGCACGCTCCTGTGTAAGCTGCCAAACATCTAAGGTCATCAGACACAATAAATGTCCCTTAGGCTCATTTAAAACTCCCGACGCTCGTTTCGACCATGTTCATCTGGATTTGGTAGGACCTTTACCAGATTCAAATGAATACTCCTACTTCTTAACCTGTGTAGATCGTTTCACTCGATGGCCAGAAGCAGTACCTATCAAGGACATCACTGCTGAAACAGTGGCCCGCACCTTCGTCGAACGATGGGTAGCAGACTTCGGTTGCCCTTCAACCATCACTACAGACCGCGGACGTCAGTTTGAGTGTGAACTTTTCCGTCGTCTGACCACACTATTAGGAAGCACTCGCTTCCGAACGACCGCCTACCACCCACAAGCAAACGGGTTGGTAGAACGCTTTCACCGACAACTAAAAGCTTCACTATCAGCTGCAAACGTTTCACAGTGGACCGACGCTCTTCCACTCGTCTTACTAGGTATCCGCAATGCAGTGAAAGCTGACATTGGATACACTGCGGCTCAACTCGTTTATGGAACGACACTTCGACTTCCAGGAGAATTCGTGGATCCTTCATCCTCTTCAATGAACATGGATTTAACTTCCTACACGAACAGGCTTACAAACGCAATGCGTTCAGTTAAACTTGCTTCCACTCGACCTCAATCAACTGATGTTTTCGTTCAACCTGACTTACGATATAGTACACACGTTTTCGTTCGTCCAGACTCGCATCGACGACCTTTCGAATCAGCATATGAAGGACCTTTCAAAGTTCTTCAACGCGAACCGAAGTACTATATTATCGATAAAAACGGAACCAACGATAGCATCAGCATCGATCGCCTCAAAGCAGCGTATTTAGAAGGAAATCCTATCTACGTGGATTTTCCTTCAGTACAATTGAACGACACGACTCCGACACTTATAATACCACATCCGACAACCAACACTCATGATGATACTTCGACAGTATCCGAAAATAAACTTAAAACGACGCGTTCTGGAAGAAGAGTGAGATTTCCAGAACATTTAAACGACTATTGCACGTAAGGCACTTCTCGACATTTTCTATATTATTAAAAAATAAATTTTTTTTTTAATAGGCTTATATATTTTCATTTCTATTTCAAAAAAAAACAAAAAAACGATTTTTTTTTAACGCTGTTACGTGTTCATGAGTTTATTTTTCCTTTTTTACGCACATATGAGTGTATTTTCGACATGCACTTACATTTTCTTTCTTCTTTTCCAGGACGGCTGGAAAAGAACGATGACGTTTATGAGGATCTGAAATTTTTCATTGTACATTTTCTTTTTTTACTATGATGTACTCCGGCCCCATATAGTAAGGAAAGACGACCAGACGCTGCTAAATTTAGTAAGCTATCAGAAGAGTGTTTACCAACGACAAACTCGTTGGGTTTAAACTTCCGGCTGGCCACGTCTTAGGGTCATCACTGCCCCACTAGGGGGGGAGTGATCTGTAGCGGTAAATAAATCCCCAAACTAAATAGCTCAATAGGTTTTCGACATTGGATGCTGACCATATGTTTTAGTGGACTCATCTAGCTGAAGGCGCTCGGTCATGCATCCGCACCAGATCACGTGCTGTCACGCTGTGCTCAACAACAATCGCAATCACTAGCCAGATTAGATCAGAGATTCCCGATATATTGGTTATCGCCAAATACACTCTTCCGATCTCTTCGACTCTGTCTTTTGATTTCTCTCGGTGGGAACAAAGCATATTAGAAGGTGTTATTGGTAGAAGCGTTGTCAAACACTGAATACCTGTATCATCCTCAATGGAGATGGAAAGGAGTCTCTGATGAGATGCATATTGTTAGGGTGACATGTTCTACAAGTGTTTGGCTGCTGTGCGGCTGAGATAGTTTCAGTTTGATCACTAGGCCACAGTCTGCACTATCCCATGCGCAACATTTCACCTGTGATGACGAAAGTGACAATGATAAAGACCTTTCCATATTGTGATAAAAAATTCACTTTCTTTATGAAAAACTGTAAGCACTATGGAGCCAGCCGAAAAAAACGACGAAGAAACATGAAACTGGACAGATTTCAAAAAGAAAACTAACCAATTTAATCTAAAAGCTCGGTAAACATTGTTTTAACGAACATTATTACTTTTGTTGCATCTGAATATTGGAAAAGTTTGAAAAGTTCAGATAGCGTAGAACAAATATGTTCCATTCTTAACCATGATCCTATAATCTGAATCATGATTTCAGGGTTCTGATAAATTATTATTACTTTTTTGCAATGCCGATATTGAATCTTTTGTTTATTGTATTTTGTTCTGCTAACTCATTATTCAACCTGTGCGTCACTTACCTAATAATTGTGTGCTTGTCTGGCTAGTAATCGTTATTGAAGTATTTGCTTAGACAAAACTTTAGTTTATAATGGCTATTATATAGTATTTGTATTTTTGTTATTGTCATTACCATGTGGTACAATATACATAAAGCGCTCCATGCATTCCCTAAATACATCAATATGTTGGGTATTTAGTTTTGTTATGGAGTGGAAGAGGCTCAAAAATAACATGTGGATATGTTTATAGCATTTGCTCACTTTAATGTCTTTCGTCTTGGTCATCTAGTTGGAAATTTTTTTAGAACTCAACGCAACTCCTACTCCTTAAGAGTTGTCAAATGCTGGATTTTGCTGCCGACCGAGCATTCTAGGCGACTTCCCAGGAGTCTTTTAAAAGAAAACTTGATCTATTCTTAAGGTCTAAGGATAACAGCTTATTATGATTTACCAATTTATTCTGTTTCTTCTATTATCATTAATGTATCTAGGTTCCTGCCTTGAGGTATTGGTGATTCACTGCTACTAGACACGGAAGACCGTTAAGCGAAAGATCCTTCTCTTCCGTCCACAACCATTTGAAGCATTTGAATAACGGCCGTTTTAGTAAAACCAATTAAGATGTGCACTTTTGTTTTATTTATATCAAATGCGTGTAGTGGAGCTTGGCTTTATCAGGTCATTGTCTGTTCAAAGTCAGTGACTCGGCATAGTTAAAAGGAAAAAAATGGTTTGAGTCAGTGATCAGATTGTTTTTGTTTTGACGTACTTTGCTAGTTTTGTTTTCGTAATTATGGTGTGAAAGTTAATACTCTAGCTGACATTTTCGTGTGACTGAATGCGGATTATACTGGGACGAGAAATTGAACGAATGTGTTTAATAACCGGACAACAGTGGTTGTGCAATGTAATCCCAAGTTATTGTTACCTAACTTCAACATATTAATCCTACATTGCTTGAACTTTACTTTCCATCATAATTTTTTTATTTTGACCGAGACCAGCTAGGTAAAAACGTTAATAAGATGTACAGCAACTCACCTTTGGCTCAGTGGTTTATGTACATCATCTGTTAGTCGGTCATATGTTGCACCCAAATCCTATATACTACCGTTTAAGCAATGTGGTGGTATCTATAGCGCCACCAAATGCCCTGGTACTGCTGACAGTGGGGAGAGTCAGCTCTTCCTCTCGAAGTGTCTCACATGGCCACGCGTATACAGCCTCTGCCAGGGAAGTCCTTCTCGTGGCGGGGGTGTTGTTTACGAAATCGAGAGGACAAAAAATGCATGTCCTCTGCTTTAATCAGGTTGGTGGACACGGAGAACCCACCCAGGGGAGTTGGAAAACCCTGATTTTTAACAATTGATGCACATGGGCTCCACGATCCTGACGGAACAAATGGTGTATGGACCAATTTTCGGCCTCTGGATAACATGGGACTGCATCTCCTTAAGATGGTCCACTTCCTTGTGGATCACACCTTTAGGTCGAAGGTTCCGAGTGTGGTCCCTTAAGAAAACCACCTGCTTCGGTTTGGGCACTCAGGCAGTATCATAGCCCTTACACAAATCGAATGTCAGTCAGTCAGTCAGTTACAACGTAGGACCAGGCACATATGTGCATCGGTCCAGGTTGCCATACCGCATCAGCACAAGATGAACACCGGATTCATAGCAGTGGTTAGGTCAAAGGTGGTAATATATAAGAGAAAGATTGCATATAGAGATATATTACAAGAAGAAAGAATTGGTTCGTAGAAAGAAAGATATGAAGTGATTTTAATCTCTTAGTTTAAGGAAAGACAGGGAGTGTATACACCGACGCCATTGTGATCGATTCTGAACCATGTCACCAAGAGTCTCCAACCATTGGTTATGATAGTCACGCGGACCCCAACCAAGTAGTCTGCATCTACCAACATGGCTCAGACTAGAAGTTAGTGACTTCAAGCACTGATGCCACGTTTTGGTTTGGCCGCCCCTAACTTTCTTCCAACCATCTCCAATACCGGATAGCATTGCACTTCGTGGTAATCGGTGTTCAGGCATACGTAGCACGTGGCCCAACCATCTCAGTCGATGAAGATTCATAACCTCATCAACTGACTTACCATTATTCCCTAATACCCTGCGTTTAACCTCACTATTACTTACCCCGTGATCACAGCAGACGCCAGCAATATTTCTAAGTCATCTGTGGTCAAATACTAATAGCTTACGAGTGTCTTCTACTCTTAATGGCCATGTTTCGCTGCCGTAAAGTAAAACAGAACGGACTGCCGCGCAGTATACTCGTCCTTTTATTGACAGACGGATATCTCGCCTTCGTCAAAGGTGACGTAAGTTGGTAAAAGCCAAACAAGCTTTCGAATCCGTGCTGAGATTTCGTCCGATATCAACCCATTAGGGCTGATCAGACTTCCAAGATAAGTGAAGTTGTCAACGCGTTCGACTACTTCACTCCCTATCCTTAGTTCAGGTGTTTACGCAGACCAGTCCTGAAGCAACAACTTGCATTTCGAGGGAGAGAAGAGCATTCCAAACATTCTGGCATTGTTGCTTAGTGCTACCAGAAGACTGCATTTTGTCAGCCTCTTCACCAAACAGGACTATGTCATCTGCGTATTCTAAGTCGATAAGTCGACCTCCTGGATGGAGATCAATACACGAGAACTCAGTCGACGAGAAAGTTATTTCCATCAGTAGATCCATGATGAAGTTAAACAAAAATGGGGAAAGTGAACAGCCTTGACGGACACCACTTGAGGTTGCAAAAGTAGATGACAGTTCGCCATAAGCTCTGACTCAACTAGTAGTGTTTGAGTAAAGAGCCTTCTCAAGGTTCATGTACTTCTGGGGTACTCCTTTCAATGACAAACACTGCCACAGAATCTCGCAGTCTACCGAGTCAAATGCTGGTTTTAAGTCGAGAAAGACCACCATTGTCGAACGCCGTTAAGTATGCCCGTGTTCTAGAATCTGACGAATGGTGAATATGTGGTCGATGCAGCCACGACCCGGTCTGAAGCCAGCTTGAGTCTCTCGTGTTTGCAGTTCACGAGTCTTAGCTGGGCGTCTGATAATTATCGAGGCTAGTATTTTAGATATTATATTTTTGATTTTGACCCTTTCTTATATATTGGGACGATAAGTGATTGTGACCAGTCAGATGGAATAACGTCTAACTCCCAGATCTTAGCTAAAATATTAGTCAACCTAATCGCTAAAATTGGACCACCATCCTTAAAGACTTCTGGAACCAGTCCATCTGGTCCAGCTGCCCTTCCTCGTTTCAGATTATCTATAGCCTTTTGAACTTCAGCAAGAGTTGGGGGACCTACTTCAATGTTCCATTCACGCTGTCTGGGAATGGAGGGTAGTTGTAGAGTAGCTGAAGGCCAGTTGAACTGTTCTCTGAAATGTTCCGCCCGTCGTTCTAAACGTCTGGACTGGGAGCAGATGAGAGTATCTTCTTTTTCCGAAATGATCTCACTTACACTTGACTTATTAATTCCAGTTTCTTTTATTAGTCTGTAAAGCTGTCTTGTGTTCCATATGGTTGCCGCCTTTTCCATCTCTTTTGCTTTCGTTGCCCACCACTGCTCACGGTCATTTCTTAGACTTTTTCTTAACCTAGATCTGATCTGTTTAAGCTCTTCATCATGTTCAGAACGTGATGGGACGAGTTTGCGAGAATCCATCAGTGTGATAGACTTTGAAGAAATCCACTGGTTCTTTGTAACTCTGTGGTTTAAGTCACTAACAGATGTCACTGCTGTTTCCACAGCTGATTGTATGCCTTTCCAAGCAACATCTGGGTCAGCCTCGTCTTCAGAACTACCTAAGTGTGACCTCAGTTGTTCCTGGAACTTACTTTTGGTTTTCTCGTTACTCAACTCAGTTCTAATGGGTCTTTTTAATGTGGCTTTTTTGCGTCCAGTGAGGCGCAAGCAGATGCGTGCCCGTATTATGGCGTGGTCGGAGTTCAAGCAGGTACTCCAGAATGAGCGACAATCTTCTACCGACCCTCTCCAACGATGACTGATGGCAATATGGTCTATTTGAGTCCATCGTTGGTTGGGTGTAGGGGGTCGGCATGTTAGACGATGTCTCTCCTTATGCTTAAAGTTTGTGTTTGCTAAAAATAAGCGATTGTCTGAGCATAGTTGCAGCAGACGATCACCATTATCTGTTCGCTGTGTCGGAATACTAAGATATCCACCTAAATGCCTTTCTGTTTGGTTTAAGCTACCTATCTGAGCATTAAAGTCACCCCCTACGAGTACTATGTCTGAGCGTTTAGCTTTCTGAAGAAGTTCAGAAAGCTTTCTGTAAAATTCGTCTTTCACATCATCTGAGCTGCAGTCAGTGCGAGCATAGGCAGAAACGACGAAAAGGCAACGACGTGTGTTCCCATTCTTCCGAGTTCTTACGTAGCCGTTTAGCCGAACAGCACATAGACGACTGTTGATGGGGATCCACTCTAGCAGTGCTTGTTCGGCCCTCATGCTTAGTGCTATGCCTACACCCGCCAGTCCACGAGAACTGGCCATCGGGTCACCAGATACACGTAGGGTGTATTTCGTTGGCTCTACGTTTTGCCGAGGTAAGGTCAAGTGAATGACCACACTGGAATCTTGTATGAGTGTTTCAGAGACACAGCATACATCAATAGAAAGAGACTCTCGGGTTTTAGCCAAGGAAGCCTGTTGACCGATTCGACATAGGGTTCGTACGTTGAAGGCTCCAATGTTTAGTTTGGAGCGAGGTTTCAGTAGACCTGGGACAGAGTTTTGAGCACTAGAATCGTTGGCTATGGTGACACTTGAGGAGGAAACCGAAAGAGGAAGTTTAGAGTTGAAAGTCGATGTAGGAGGAATAATAGGAATTGAAGAGGAAGGTTGATTATGAATACAGTGGTCTCGAGTGCTGTTAGAGGTATGAGGGCGGTTATCACTTCCCGGTTGCCCACACCGTGGAAGGGTTGTCCTGTAGGTACCTGAAAAAGAAATTGGATTAGAGGTGGTCTTAATGACCTGAGAGCGTGACCGCAGTGCCCAAGGGACAACTGCTTGAGGTCTGTCACGCACGACCTTTTTATGGGCAATTTTCGCGTTATATCTGTACTTGTTGAGACCTTACCTCCGGAGACAAATATTCGTGGGATAAGGCGAGGTGTGCATTTTTAGGGTCGATTTTTTCTAACCCCACCCCTCCTTGTGGGAAGACAGCATCGCTGTCATGCTAGTTGTCTGAAGGAAACACCTTACTGCTGTCACACCACTGTACAGTCAGCAGTACGACTTCGCCTTCGGACCTTGGGTTTGTTGCTTTTAGTCTTACCGCTCTTCAACCGACCTGTCTGACATGTTAGGACCTTGAGGAGCAGTTGTTCCAGCCAGTATAGCTCGGTTGCTTCATCAAGCTGGGCAAGCCCGACCACCACGTCAAGGTAGCAACAACGGTCGGGACAAATCAAATGAGATTTGTGTGGCGCATATGTATTTGGTGCCCCCTTGTACCAATATTTGTGTTCAGATAAAGAAGTATTTGTAGCCCTTAGGTGTATATTTCGGTCCAATGAAAAAAGCTCTGCCTGCATATTTTCATAATTTTATTTGTTACACTTGAAATTGTCTGCTATTACCTATTGCCGTTGCCTTTTCCATCTCTCTTGCTTTCGCTACCCACCACTGTTCGCGATCATTGCGTAGACTTCTTGTCAGCTTGCGCTTAAGCTGACTCCGCTCTTCACTATGTTCAGAGCCAGGTGGAATGAGTTTCCGAGCATCTATCAGTGCGATAGATGCTGCTGAAATCCAGTGTTGCTCTCTAACCTTCTGGTTTACCTTACTAGCAGATACCACTGCTGTTTCCACAGCTTTTCGGATATCATTCCATGCTGCATCGGGGTGGGCATCACATACATGGCTGCCTAACTGTTTTCCTAGTTGTTCCTGAAATATACTCTTAGCTTGACTATCATTAAGTAGGCCCCTAAGAGGTTTCCTTGCAGCGTCTTTCCTACGTCCAGTAAGACGCAAGCAAATACGCGCTCGCACTAGAGGATGATCTGAATCTAAGCATGTGCTCCAGAATGAGCGACAGTCTTCTATCGAGCCCCTCCATCGGTGGCTGATAGCGATGTGATCTATTTGGGTCCAACGTTTGGACGAATTAGGGGGTCGCCATGTTAAAAGATGTTTTTCCTTATGCTTACAGTTGGTATTTGCGAGGAACAGGCGATTATCTGAGCATAGCTGCAACAGACGGTCGCCATTATCTGTTCTTTGAGCCACGACACCATAAGATCCACCTAGGTGTCTTTCCCTATCGCTTAGTTTACCTACTTGAGCATTAAAGTCACCGGCCACTACTACTACATCAGAGCGCCTAGCTTTTTGGACAAGCTTTCTGTAGAGCTCATCTTTTACATCATCTGAGCTGCAGTCAGTGGGAGAATAGGCAGAGACGACGAGTGTCCCTACCCTTCGCAGTCCTTATTGTTCCGTTTAGTCGGACAGCGCACAAACGACTGTCTACTGGGATCCAGTCTAAGAGAGCTAGTTCTGCCCCAGGACTCAATGCTATACCTACGCCGGCAAGTCCACGAGAAGCAGCATCTGGGCCTCGAGATATACAAAGTGTGAATCGAGTTGGTTCTTTGTTTTGACATGGTGATGTCAAATGAATGACGCTACTCGGATCCTGTATGCGTGTTTCGGAGACGCAGCACATATTGGTGGCACGAGGTTCTAAAGTCCTAGCTAAGAAAGCCTGTTGTCCTATTTGGCACACTATTCGGACGTTATAAGCTCCAACATGAAGTTTTTCGTAACGTAGCTTCCACACCAGATCATACTCACTTTATGTTTGCACAACGGATATATGTTTATCAGTTTTGAGCGTATCAAGAACCGAATAAATGAAAATTTTACTAACATGTCAATGGGGCATAAGGTAGTTGCCGTTTTTGCAACGATCAAGAAGATATAAATAAAATTAATATATTTGTAATATCCCAATGAGTAGAAAATTGGATTTTCTGACGTTTCGTGACTTAGTGTAAGTCACTTCTTCAGAGAATAAATAACCAAATTAAAATTAATCCAAGTTTAAATAGTACAACGGAACAATGCAAGAATAATATTGGATCAATCAAAAACAAGTCTGAACAAGTTGATGTCATGTCATTTCTGTCAAGGTGATCAGATTGAGTGGCTAGGATAGATGGTCCAAGTAGGATGTATAGTAAGACCTTCCTTTCTATTGAGAGAAGTAAGATTAAGCATTATATGGAACGCCTCAGCTACCCTCCTTTCTTTGTAGTTAGAAAGGTCACACAAGTTTTCATTCTTAAACAATACACATATACATACACACAAATTTACATACATATCACTTATGAATCACCTTGACAGAAATGACATGACATCAACTTGTTCAGACTTGTTTTTGATTGATCCAATATTATTCTTGCATTGTTCCGTTGTACTATTTAAACTTGGATTAATTTTAATTTGGTTATTTATTCTCTGAAGAAGTGACTTACACTAAGTCACGAAACGTCAGAAAATCCAATTTCCTACTCATTGGGATATTACAAATATATTATTTTTATTTATAACAATGAACCCAATGCTCAATTTATTCGAAATTATCAAATCAAACCTTGGTAATGACACCTACAATCAAGAAGATATTTTATTTCTGATTAGTCCTAAGCTATGACTTACTTTAGCCAGTAGATTAAATGAGTATCCATAAACATCTCTAGTTTGTTAATTGTGTATTTGAAGTAATTAGACATGCTTTCATTTAAATCTAGGTATCCTTAATGTTCCGACTAACTCAGGTGGGGCCACATTTGTTCTCAGTGCAAGTGGATTTATGCACAAGTGAGTTAGTGTCTATATTTGTGTTTAACAGATATATGTGTATTTTCGTAGTAGCTGTATACAACTTGGCACTTGCTTAGTGAATTAGTCATTTAATAGTAAAAAGTGAGTAGATATATGTGTATTGGTTTCTGTCACGGTCTGAAGGAATCTTTTGCTCTCTTCAAAATACATAACTCCTATAGTTCAAAGTCGAACTTCATAGTATTATTCAAAGTTTTTTAAAACTAAAAGCTAATCATAGGGGAATTAACCAGCTTTTAAAATAGTGTTTAAAGTTCACACTGGTAACCGAAATTGCGATTTCCATGTAATTGAGTTCACTAAACATTTTATGCCTTATGTTTGTCAGGTTCATTTAGTGGGCGTTTTTAAAAGTTTAATTGTGAAATTCAGAAGTGTTTGTTTGACGAACCAACTGTAAATCATTCGATTATTCATTTATAAACTATCTTCATGTCGTAATTTTACATCACTGAATGACTTTGGTTAGACAACCATAGAAAACCAGGGATCACTGAATAGCTTATTCATTTTGGTATAAAACTCTTTACTTGTGGGGATTCACGACCACACCTGGTACCGAAGCCTGAATCTTCAGGCTTCTCATCTAGCGCTTAATGTGCAGGCCACTGAGTTGGTATCCAACATTTCTAACCACTACTTATTGCCATTATTGATATGATTGTCTCACTTCAAACTTCACTGGTGACAGCTTCTCAGTGAAACTGAATTTCTTCATCTACGTATAGTTTGATATTAATAACATTGTAGTGAACAGGAACACCAGCGGGGACAATCGAATGTTTTTAACACAAAATTACAGGACTTGTTAATAAAACCTAACAATCATAAAGTAAATTCTTAATTTGCAAAATGTCCACCAATTGTCTCGAAATGACCCAGACTTCATTGTTCTTGCATTTTCATTCAAATTGCATCCTATTTCCATTCTTTACTGCTCGATCCTGTTGTCTCTCTGCTGCCAGACCTGTTCACGACTAATATCATATACTACTTATGTCAATATAAGTAGCAAACACCACAGTATGGCTCGATATATTTTTATAACATGTGACAGTTGTTTAACATGTTACTTCACAATTTTTCCGTTTCACAGATTCGAATTAGAATCTAAATTTGGTGATTTTGTTAAAGGTACTCCATGCGCTGTTTGTAATAATCGAATGCGATTTCGTCTACAACATTGTGCTTACTGCAAGTAAGTGTGGTAATATATTTCTTTACTTAAAAAATGATAATATACATGCACTGTTATATTTTACTATAAAAAGTATACTAGTTGCACCTGTTATGTCCTATAACCCGCCAAATATCACTTGGCGAAATCGCCAATCAGAATACCGACTGCTGTCACCCTGTCTCTCTGCTAAACCAATGATGCGTTAACCGGCACGAGAAGCCTTGAGTCAACTCTGAGACCTTATTGGTCCTCTGTGTAGTAGCCTCTCACCTAGCTCCTCCTATTCAGTTCAGAACACAAATATCAGCCTCCGCTGTGTAAATCGTATATTTCAGACATACGTAGTTTATATACAAGCAGACCAGACCAAATAACAAGATAAAACGAAAAATAATCATTATATAAGATCAAGCCAAAAGTTGCTGTGACTATGGGATACTGCAACTAATAAATTTTCCATGATTATTATTAAATTTTGATTGAGATCATGAATCGATCAGTATTAGACCGCCATTGAAAACCTGGAAGCATTGGACGGTCGTTTCGTTCTAGTTTGGGACTCCTCAGCAGTGTGCATTCATGATCCCAAGCTACAAAAACACGACCGTCCAGTGCTTCCAAGTTTTCAGTGATGGTCTAACATTGATTGATTCGTGATCTCGGTCAAAACTCAATCTCTACAACCTTAAACTGATATTATTCAATTGTTATTATGACCTTTACGTTTTTCACTTTTTTGTATATCTGTCAAGTGGACAATTATCTCTCATATTTGTAACCTGTAAATTATTTTCACTACCTTATTCTTCTCTAATCCATTGATTTCTACTCAACCTCATTTGATATTTGGAGTCTCGAATCTTTTGATGATGCAATCTTTTCTATCCTTCTATAGACTCATATATTTACCATACAACTATAAGTACGAAGGTACAGCTTAAGTAAATGGTTTCTTCGGAAAGTGAAAATTTCCTCCTCTAAATTCGCTTTATTTTTATTATTGAGTGTACAAATAACTTGCTTAAGATTAGATTTTATTGTCTTGACTTGTTATTGTAACACTATACACAATTGTTTGACTTTTTTTAAAAAAAATCTCTGTACATAGAATCAAAGTACATAAAAGTAGCATTTCTCATTCAAGACGACTTCCTTGCACAGGAGCTTCCAGTGGAAAAAACAATGAATTACACGAATTCAAAGGTAATCCATTTTAATATTCTCTTAAATATAAGTATGAGAGATGATATATCAAATGTTTGGGAAAATATATGAAATTACCCAGATTTTATTGCATTGTAGACATTCTTACGTCTAGCTAAACAACTGATTGCAAGTTCATTTTAATGGTAAAGATGTCATCTACATGCATACTTTAATCAGCTTTTATTTTAGTATAATTTCAAATCAAATAACTCTCATCAACACTACAACTAATTTTCCACATTCAACAATATTCATACATTTAGATAGTTTGTGTTTTAATATAAAGTCGTTTTACGTATCCGAAATGCCCTGGTACGGTCGAGAGTTGGGAGAGTCAGCTCTCCCTATCCGAACGCTCTCACATGGCCACGCGTATACAGCCAGTAAAGTCTTACCCACTGCCTTCTCGCGGCTGCAGTGTCGTTTACGACATTAAGAGGACGAAAATCAAATGTCCGGCACCTTAACTGGGTTGGTGGACACGGAGGGTCCACCTAGTGGAGTTGGAAAATTCTGATTCCAAAGCAATGGTACATATGGGACCCACAATCCTGAGTGAACAAATGGCGTATGAGCCAATTATTGGTCACTGGCTACCATTGGACTGCATCTCCTTGTGGATCAGATCTTTAGGTCAAAGGCTCCGGGTGTGGCCTCCTAAGAAAATCACCTGCTTCATTTTGGGCAATCGGGTAGTATCACAGCTCATACACCAATCAAGTGACTTGTGTAGTGCATATGTATTTAGTGCCCCTTTGTATCAATATCAATTTAATAAATATAAAATAAATTCGATAATTTTTAATTTTTAATGATTTCCTTGAAGAAGTTCGTCCTCAACTATTTTAATTTCAATTAATTACTGGAATTATTATAAATATAATTCCTTTTTGTTACCCTTAACAATAATTGGATGCAAGAATAGAATTTTTTCAGTAAATATCATCATTTTCATTTTATTTGAAGAAAGGTGTGCCTGAGAAGTTTATTGACATTTTAAAGGCCCTATATACAAACATCTCAGGTAGAGTGAGGGCATACAACCACCTTTATCCATTGTTCCATTCAAGCAGTGAGGTTAGACGGTTGTCCAATCTCACCATTTCTCTCCAACTTTGCCATCGATGAAATTCTGGAAAAAGATCTGATGGATGTAAGTAATGGTGGTGTGGATCTGTTGCCTGGAGAAAGACTTCTCGACCTTGAGTATGCGGATGATATTGTCTTACTGTGCGATAATACCCAAGGCATGCAATCCGCACTTAATCAGTTGGCAATCAATGTCCGTAGGTATGGTATGTGCTTTGCACCTTCGAAGTGCAAAGTACTTCTACAAGACTGGCAGGATTCTAATCCCGTACTCACCCTGGATGGTGAGCAGATAGAAATAGTCGAGAAGTTCGTGTATCTAGGTAGCTGCATAAGTGCTGGTGGTGGCGTGTGTGATGATATCAATGCACGTATAGTGAAAGCCAGAGCGGCTTGTGCAAACCAAGCTGTAAATGGTCGGATCTACAACGCGTCGGTGAGAGCAGTTCTGTTTTATGCTTGTGAAACGTGGCCTCTCTGAGCTGAGGATATTAGACGACTCTCTGTGTTTGATCGTCGTTGTCTCCGAAGGATTGCTGATATCCAGTGTCGACACCATGTTAGTAATGCAGAGGTTCGGCATCGTGTGTTCGGGTACAGGGACGATAATGCGATTGGTGTCACCATGTTGAAACATCGACTTCGGTGTCTTGGAGATGTTCTACGAATGTCGTCTCAGGGAATTCCACATTGTAAATTATTTGCCGACTCTTGGACTGGTTGGAAAAAGCGGAGAGGTGGTCAGTGTATGACATGGTGTCGTGGAATGAAAGAAAGCTGCAAAGGACTGGCTTGTGTTGGTCCTTCACGACTCCCTGGTTGGGGTCCGAAAGGTGGTGCAACACAGTGGCTAGAAACGTTATCAGATATGGCTGAGAATAGAAGCCAGTGGGAATCCTGCTGTAGGCTTCTTTTACTTTCTTCATAAAAAGTGGTTGTATCTTCCTTAACTGAGAGATTTCTTCTGATTGTACCTTTCCGTTTCCTCCATTATTATCATTATTACTATTATTATCACACCACCTTACACTAATCTGGTCGTTATTAATCTTTTTTTTCTTTTACGCTCCTTACCTTCCTTTTTATCTCTTCCCATTCTCTTTGTTTTGTGTGGCGCTTATATATTTGGTGCCCTCTTGTGCCAATATTTATGTATTCAAATAAATAAATAATAAGTCACTTATAAGTTATGACTTATTGAATTAGTTATTGAATTTTACTTGATTATCGTGTCATGTGTAACATACATATCGGTAGTAGTAGTAGTTAGTAGTAGTGACATTTGTAAATAAATTTTTCACATGTATATCACGTTTGTATTTTTTTTGTATTTAATAAATAATTAATTATAATTACAAATTATTTTCAAGTGATGATTCTAAACATTTTTAGTTAATTTTTTCTTTTGTTTTACCAAGGATACATAGACACTGATTATTAAATTAACAAAGTGGTAACTTATATCGGTTAGAGCGTTCAATTTCATCTATTTTAATTTTATTAGTCAGGTAGTTGTATTGTAGTGCATACTACCTATATTGACAGATATAAGTAGTATGTATCAGCAATCGCAAGTCAAGTGCATATCAGAAGAACAGAAACTAAAATAGGGATCAGTTGTAATAACAACAGAATTGAAAGAATCATAAAGTTTGTAAAGGATAACTAAAGGAAGATGTGCAAATAATGTATTTAATGAATAATTTTCATATTTTGCGAAGGTACTGTTTAGTCTTTTGCTCTTGAGAATAAATTGTGTTCAGCCATCTAAATTATGTTCACATTGTTTGTTATCGCTGACAAAAAGAGGACGACGAGTATAGTAATGCACACGTAGTTGTGTGGTTGAAAGTATGGTGTCTAATTAGTGATTACCTCTGCAATAGGGAGACATCTAATGAAGTGTCATGGTGGAGCGGTGTTAGGTGTAGCGATCGTTGTTGTTGAAGAGATGAAGTGAAAACTATGGTTGTTGAACGGACATGAAACGTAGATGGTGCGGTAGGTCGACATCACTCTGGTGGAGGTCAGCGCGCTGGTCGACTTGACATGTCGGTGTGAGGCGTGGGACAGATTGTACCAGAGAAGAGAATGGTACGGTCAGCAGAATGAACTCGAAAGTGACTCCCGTTTAAACGGATGACGAGTCTAGTTTATGCTTCTTGTGTTGACAGATATAAGTAATATGTGGCAGCAATCTAAAGTGGAATGCATACAAGCGGAACATTGAATTTAAGAGAACAGAAACTAAAATAAGGATCAGTTGTAACAACAACAGAATTGAAAAAAATCATAAAGTTTGTAAAGGATAACTGAAGAAAGATGTGCAAATAATTTATTTAATGAATAATTTTCATATTTTACGAAGGTACTGTTTAATTTTACATTCAATAATAAATTTGTTTTCCCCATCTAAGTTCTCATTCACTTCAGTACAATAAATCTCCATAAAAAAATGACTTATACCTAAAAGTTAAGTACATAAACACATGTACATTTGGTAAATGATTTTGTTTTAACGATTCACTCCAAAAAATTTGACATCTAAACCAAATCTTCTACATGACAGCTGAAGATATTCATCAGTTTAGTATGGAAGATCATATTTTATTGTCTTCATATTTATTTTTAACTATTCGACTATTTGAAGACAGTTAGTATATGAATGTTGATATTATCATTCATTGTTCCAATAGACATTGTTATTGTTAACACTATAGAAATTTGAACCCTCTCCCTTATATATACAAAAACAATTTGTCCACAATCCCACCCCCCGCGAAATTCGAACTCAGTACCTATCAGTCTCGCGCCAGGCGCTTAACCAACTAGACCACTGAACGGGCATCCAACGGTTTTAATTTCTAACTTCAACCAATCCACGAAGTTGCGCCACCGTACACCATTGTCTTCAGTGAGTTGATATCTCACAACAGACCTGGTTGAACTCCACTGGTAACAGCTTCTCACTAGAACTCCAGGGGTATCTCCTGAAGTAAGTCACTAGTGAGCAGGCGATTATTATCAGATTGGGTTTTGTGGAGATTTTTTAGAAATTTCACTGGCTAAGGAGTCCCATACTAAGACGAAACGGCCATCCAGTGCCTCCAGATTTTCCATAGTGGTCTAGCTTCAATTGACTCATGATTTCAACCAGTGAAATCTCTTCCCTTTTTTATTTTTGTTGATTTTTTTATAATTTTTTTACTTGAACTTTCATTCAAAATAGACCTTTATTAATTTTCATATAAAATACCCTGACATGTATATGTGTGATCAGATTGTTTGAAATGTAAGACACAAATACATCCCATATTCATCAAATCAACTCCATCTTCTCATTGTTCTATCGAGATTTATGAAAAAAGGACTGATCGCTTTAAAAAAACAGCATTTGTTTATGCACCCTTATATACAATAGTAAACAATCCATCTGTTGAATTTTGAAGTAAATATTTTTATACTGAATATGTATTGATCTATGTGTATATATTAATGATTGTACTGTTTATCTATGTGTCTATTTTCATTATAAAACAATAGTTGATACATTTTGATATATATCAAAAAGGGGTTTTGTGAATATTAAAGTGATTGAAGCTGAGGAGTCTCACAATCGGACTAAACGATTATCCAGTGCTTCCAGGTTTCCCATGGTGGTTAAGCTTCAATTGACTTATGATCTCAACTATTAAATAAAATTACATTTTGATATATTAACAAGATATATCATTATTGTGTAATTTTATTATCTTAATCATTACTTTTAAAGGTTCTCCAAATATGCCTCGTCAATTGCATACAAATGTTTTAACAACTAGTCAAACAAATCTTCGTCCTGCCCATTCTACTCCAGCATTTCAAGTTAGTTAATAATAATAATAATAGTAATAATACTTTATTCTTTTTGACTTATTTGTACAATATTAACATAATTATGGAAGAAAGTAAACAAGTAATATGTATCGAACCTTAATTATATCATTTGTTGGATTCTGTCATTTTATTTTATTTTATTTGAAAACATAAATATTGATACGAAGGGGCACCGAATACATATGTGTCACACAAGTTACTTGATTTGCGTATGAGCTGTTCATACTGCCGGGGTGCCTAAGCCGAAATAGGTGGTTTTCTTAGGGAGCTACACCTGGAGCCTTAGACCTAAAGGTCTAGTCCACAAGGTAACGAAGCAACGTCAAGAGATGCAGTCCCATAGTAGTAGGTGATCGATTATTGGTTCATACACCATTTGTTCCCTCAGAATCCTGGAGCCTAAGTGCACCATTAGTTTGGTATCAGGGTTTTCCAACTCCCCTAGGTGAACTCTCTGTGTCCACCAACCCGATTAAAGCGCCTGACGTTCGCTTTTCGTCCTCTCGATTTCGTAAACAACACATTGGACGCGAGAAGGCAGTAAGTATGACTTCCCTGTCAGTGGCTGTATACGCGTGTCCATGTGAGAACATCTCCAGAGGGAGAGCGAACTCTCACCACTCTCGGCCGTACCAGGGCATTTGGATTCTGTCATAGCTTAAATAACTGTTAAATCACGTTTCAGGCTCAATCAGTCTAGTTAGAACCTTTAGTGCTGTCCATTTTTAGTTCAATTATTGTTATATGGTTGATATATCTAATATTTGAGAGCTTGATATTGGTTTTCTAATTGCTTCCTAGTCCCTCAGAAATCTCGTACACTTTTACCTTGAAGAGAAGAAAAAAGGTTGAGCTATCTATCCCTAGAAGGATTAATGTAGGTATGGAAATGTATTATACATATTGTTTGTACATAATTCTGTAAAAGCTTCTGGAGCTGTGTTAAAATGAGTATTATCGTTATTCTGGAACTCTTTCTTAAACGCTGATTAGACAAGACATTTTAAGCTTAGTTAGAGAATAGAAAGACGAAACTCTGTGATTCTCAAGCGGAACTAATAATCTCACCATGTATAATTACTAACTAGATGGTATTAATTAGTTGAGTGACTTTTTCGATGGCTTAAATCAAAAGCTATTGGAATTCGGGATTCATATTCATTTGTCATTCTTCCTTTGAATGGTTTTGATTTAATTCATTCCTTTTTAAACTAAATTTTTTCTGGTTGTTATTTTTGTACAGCTGTTAATTATCATTTCTTTGTTTTTTTTTCTCATGTTAATTTCTTCTCATTACTCTATGAGTATCTAAAGCATGACAACTTGGAATAATACAAATTTGTGCTAGGTTCTTAAGATTGCTTATGTGTGCGCCTGTGTTTCATGGACACTTGCAAAAGCTAAGCCACGCAGATTTGGATTTTATGAGTAGTATAAGCTCCCTCATGGTTTTATGTGCGCTTCGCTGCGCACGAGTACCAACTAACACAAAACCTAGGTTTGCTCTTGACTGCTTTTAATTATTTCATACCAAACTCAGCTCACACGATATCAATTCACTTAGATTATTGACCACATTGCAACTTGATTGATAGAATTCAATCGGCAAAAATGACTAGACCAATATGACATTAATTACTACTCAGCAATTCAAATCCCTACTTATTAGTTGAAAGCTGCTTATATATTAAGCTTTACTGGCGGGACTATAATTTATGATCGAACCAATCGGATTTAGGATAACAGGTCTTGGGTTTAGGCGCGAAATTCATTCACCCGTTCCCTAAGCTAGATGATTTAATTGCAAAAATTTCAAGTGGAGTTGCTAATTTCATTGAGCGTGAGAGTACCGGGCTATTCAATGAGACTATCCAGCATCATCACTATATTCTGTTTTGAGTGGATAGTTTCTATTACCGAGTTCTTCATAACGCAAGAGTTTCAACAAAAACCTCTCATCGTTAATGATACTTCATTTAATTGTGATTAGTTATTAGTAGTATTTGTTTTCTATAGTGGAATCGTGTATAATGTGATCAGTTTCACTTGAGTACCATTAAAATAAAATAATCAGGTTCGAATCCTGGAGTGAACAACTCAACTCTGGGATTCAGATACATTCAACTGTTCAGCTCCGAATAACATGAAACATGCATTTTGGTTTACACTTCTAGCCACCATCTATCATCTTTGCTTATAAAGTACATAAATGTTTCTTTTAAAATTTCGTTGTCTTTCATCGTTGAGTGATACAAAAACTTTACTTGAATAAACTGATCACATTATTTTTAAAACAAACAAACAGTCCATCTATTCGATTTTTATAGATTTCAAGTGTTTCCATTGTGTGGTATCGAACTTCTTATCATTATAACCTGTAATGGAGAAATCAGTTTAATTGTGTGTAATTAACAGAACTATAATGATGATTATGTCATAAACGACTTATTCAGAAAGTATGCTAAGCTGGCTTTCCTTTTTTTTCGTTGTTGTTGTTATTACTTAAGAGCAGGATTTACTTATTCATTGTTTTACACCATGCAAAGTTAACAAGTTTCAAAGTACTGTTTTTGCAATCAGCGCCTAGGTTCCAACCTCGTTATTTGCATCTACTGACTTGGATCAAATGAACAGTTATAGGTTTCAATAATCATCACTAAACGGATTGTTTACAGAAATGAGATTGGAAATAATTAACTGTATGTACGTATATCCAACCATCATCTATTTTGACACACAATGTTGGTTTGTTCAGGAGTAGGTTTATCAAACTTAAATGGGACATCAGTCCATTAAGTTATTGGTTATTAGAGAGCCCTTTAGGTTATTGCAGACTATCGGGTTTGTGTCGGTGTGATTTTCGTAACTAGTGTATCAGAATTGGTCGCTGTAAAACAGATATGTTTGCTCTTTGTTTTCTCTTAAATCTTCAGTTCAAAAAAATTATCGTGTACTTTTTACTTACATTACTTACATTATTCAAATATATATTGCCATTTTATTATTTTTTTATCTCTTTCTCTGTATCTGTGTGCTGTGCAGAGTTCTGATTCAAACAGTGCTTCGTCATGTACAAGTTCTACACCAGGTTCACCATTTGTCACCGGTACATCATTGATTAGTACAACGTTAGCTGCATCATGTTGTACTCGTTTAGACAGTGGTTATGTTGGTGTTGGTAGTAATGGTAGTAGTACTACTGGTCAAATGATTTCATTATTTTCTCCTCCATTACGAAATTTAAGCAACAGTGGTGGTTGTATGTTTAATCCTTCTAATCCAAGTCATTTATCTTCACCAGTTAGTATACATTCTTACGGAACAGTTAATGCTGGAATTGTAACTAATACACAACAACAACCTCATTCTCCTCGACATTCCGGTCAATGCTTTAATCATTTTGAATTTCCAAGTAAGCGTTTTCGTATAAATTCATATTTAGTATATACATTTATATCGTTATCTGTTCTGCGCTCTGCTTATGTACATATAATTCCTTCTTCTACTCAATAATATGCATTTTTATGTAGACGAGCACTTCATTTACGTCTACCACTTTATTAAATCTCGTTGGAAAATCACTAGTCGCATACCTCATTTTGTGCTGAAACAAATTAAACACAATGATACTTGGTCTACCAGTTTTTTTAATAATCAGTTCCTTGTCTAGTCTTAGATAACTAAGTAGTAACGTGTTCAATTTTCCCCTTATGTCTAATAAAATCGGCTATCTAAACCAACAGGTCGAAAACGCAGTAAAAATATGTGTTAGCAAATACTAAGGAGAGGTGACCGTCAACCCTCCTTGGAAGTGCTTATGCTTATGTATATGTCATGAAGCGCAAGAGTGAAAGTCTTTATACAAGTGGTACACATGTAATATGTAAAAGACATCCAGTTGTAACAAATTCGTTCAAAGAGAGCGGAGACCATCTGCTCTTCACCGGGGGGGGGTGAATATACATATGTGTACTCTATGGGATACATAAGTGAAAACCTATATGTTACCGATGTGCATGTGTCGTATACTTGCCCCTAGTTCGGGTCACGCACTAAGACCCGGGGATGCTGGTTTCCCCACGAAATCACATCCACGTGGTGAGCCTTGAAACAGGGAGACTTTTCAGAAAAGCCAGTAGACCACCAGATAAAGCTTTACGAACCTTGAACGACTGAACACTACATACCATGTTCAATCTTCAGGTAAGAAAGTATTTCTGACTCTTTTAAATAGTTTGATAAGAGTCAGGCACCCAAAAACAACATGTTATTTGGAATGAATTTGTGTCGACTAAGTCGCTACACAATCTCAGCATAGGGAAAAGGGAAGTTCAAATGATATTTAGCGAACTGATTTGGAATAATCATTGTATTAATGAATAGTGCAAAATAATATCGTTCGCCGGTTTTCGGCATTTTTCATCTATCAGTCTGAACTGCACTACACTGTTGCGTTCATAGTTGACGGATTCGAATATCTTCAGATTCTTAAGGTGAAATCTTCAGTAAAAATTACGCTTACATACAGTATATACCTACTAAATTGACGGAAAGGTGGGCGAAAACACTGGATACCACATACTTATTGAACGTCGAACAATAGGTGGATGACCCCATCCCATGTATCCGAGGCAATCTAACCAATTTTTAGGACCGTAATGAGTTGTCTGACCTAGAAGTCTGATCCACAAGACAGTGGAGCAACGCTAGAAGATTATTTTTTTAAAATTAACTGAAATATACATTAACCAAAATTTCGAATAAATGACTATCGAAAGTAAATAATAGTTTGCTCTAAGATAGAAAATGACATCGTCCATAAAATCGTTGGAAAACGTCATAAGCTACATAAAAATGCCCGTTATGTAAATTTAAGTTTCATTACTGCAAATTTTTTTAAGCGACAGATTTGTTAGTCTGTTATTTACTTTTTGGTTTATAAGGTGCATAAAAGTTTCTAGGTTATTAGTAGCGCTTTCTAATTGTGTCGCCAATGTCGTAGATCATTTTTCAAACCTTAGGAATATTCAGTGTAAATATGCTGCAGGGCTCGTCAGTCAGTCAGTCAGCTACAACGTAGGACCAGGTACATATGTGCATCGGTCCAGGTTGCCATACCTCATCAGCACAGCAAGATGAACACCGGATTCATAGGAGGGGTTAGGTCAAAGGTGTTAAAATATAAAAGAAAGATTGCAATAAGGATATAGTACAGGAAGAAAGAATTAGTTCTCAGAAAGAAAGATATGAAGTGATTTTAATCTCTTAGTTTAAGGGAAGACAGGGAGTGTATACACCTACGCCATTGTGATCGATTGTGAACTATGTCACCAAGAGTCTCCAACCATTGATTACGATAGTCACGCGGACCCCAACCAAGTAGTCTGCATCTCCCAACATGACTCAGACTAGAAGTTAGTGACTTCAAGCACTGATGCCACGTTTTGGTTTGGCCGCCCCTAACTTTCTTCCAACCATCTCCAACACTGGTTAGCATTGCACGTCGTGGTAATCGGTGTTCAGGCACACGTAAAACGTGGCCCAACCATCTCAGTCGATGAAGATTCATAACCTCATCAACTGATTTACCATTATTCCCTAATACCCTGCGTTTAACATCACTATTACTTACCCGGTGATCCTGGCAGACGCCAACAATATTTCTGAGGCGTATGTGGTCAAATACTAGTAGCTTACGAGTGTCTTCTGCTCTTAATGGCCATGTTTCGCTGCCGTAAAGTAAAACAGAACGGACTGCCGCGCAGTATACTCGTCCTTTTATTGACAGACGGATATCTCGTCTTCGCCAAAGGTGACGTAAGTTGGCAAAAGCCAAACGAGCTTTTCGAATCCGTGCTGAGATTTCGTCGGATACCAACCCATTAGGGCTGATCAGACTTCCAAGATAAGTGAAGTTGTCAACGCGTTCGACTACTTCACTCCCTATCCTTAGTTCAGGTGTTTACGCAGACCAGTCCTGAAGCAACAACTTGCATTTCGAGGGAGAGAAGCGCATTCCAAACATTCTGGCATTGTTGCTTAGTGCTACCAGAAGACTCTGCATTTTGTCAGCGTCTTCACTAAACAGGACTATGTCATTTGCTTGTTCTAAGTCGATAAGTGGATCTCCTTTCCTGTTGTGATAAACCCAACGAGCTAAATTGGCCGAAATATGTGTTATTTTAGGTCCTATCATATTAGACAGGTCGGTCGGAGAATGGTAAATCTGAAAGCAGCACCTTGAAGCCCGAGGGCGAAGTTTTACTGTGGGCTGTCGACAGGTGTGCCAGCATTAAAGTATTTCTCTCGACCAACCAATGTCTGCAGCGATGCTGTCTTCTCATCAGAGAGTTAGGGAAGGTGGACCCTTAAAGCCACACCTCACGTTACTCTGGCATTAAGGCTTTTTAAAATGCGGAGCCAACACATAAAAATTCCCATAAATAGGTTTTTAGACCAGTGTCAAGCATTTGTCTCTTGCTCTCTGCGGTCACACGCACAGGTCAATAATGCCACTACTAGTCCAGTTTTTTTTTCAGGTCCGCAAAGAAGAAGTATATTTTTCACTGTATGGTCAACCGGGAAGTGACAACCGCTCTCAGAAATGCAACAGCACCCGAGATCACCATGCTACAGGGCTGAGGATTCCAAGCTGGGGCTTGAGTTTTGATAGAGCTTTATGATTTCCCAAATGTATATCCCATCTACCTCCAGCGTGCTTTTGCTAATTTCCTTTTCAGCTAATAGTTGGTTTGTTCTCTGGGACAGTGATTAATTAGCTTCTATAGATTATCAGCTTTAAATATTCTATGGGAAATTGTAAACTACCGAAATCTTGTCCACTGATAATTCATCTTCATTGTTAGATTTTCTAGTGTAGTTGTTGTCGTGGTGTAGTCTACTTATGTCGATAGACACAAAGTAGTATGCAGCACTAATCTGAAGTGGAATGTCTGGCAGCAGAATATTGAAAAGATCGAAATGAAGAGAACAAGGATGTAAACAGTAATTAATTAGAACTGTTCTTTTGTATAGTACCTACTTTTCAGTGGTTGAAATCTTGAGTCAATTGAAGCTAGACCATCATGAAAAACCTGGAAGCACTGGCTGGCCGTTTTGTCCTAGTATGGGACTCCTCAGTAGTGCGCACCCACGACCCCGCCTCCCGCGAGATTCGAACCCAGGACCTACTGGTCTCGCGCGCGAGCGCTTAACCATTAGACCACTGAGCCGGCATCCAACAGTGTTAATGTCTAACTTCAACCAATCCACAAAGTTGCGCCACCGTACATTTGGATACATTCAAATGTTTCACGATTAGTGTTTACTTGTATAATTTTTAATCATAACGTGTTTACAATAATGTCATGAATAATATTTGTATTGTATTTCTATTACATTCAAGTTGTCAGTCATCCAATCATAGATAATCAGTTAGTAGACGGGAATTTCAATAATAATGTGAATAATAATAGTCCTTTAATTAGGTAAGTGTTGGGTTACCGCTTCACATTACCAATAGATCGGTTTTATCACATACTTACAATTATTATTTTATATGTCAATCTTCACTCAATAAAAGTTAATGTAGCTTATCTTGAAGCTAATTTGCATCCCTGAAACCAACAGCTTAATATATAAATAATTTAACATAATCTAACCAGAGGTTATGCTCTGTGACATTGTTCATGTATTTGGCAGTTTGACAATATATGTATATCCATTGATAATGGTAAACAGTAATAAGCTTTCACATTACTTAACCCTAACATTCTGCAAGAAGGACAGAAGTATTCTTCACAAAAAAAGAAATAGACGATTACCTATACGCAGCTATTCACCATTCCTTACCTGTTTTACTCACATCAGCTTCAGCTTGTAGGTGTTATTAGTTATACAGTAAATCAAACTATAAGAGATATGTATAAATTGGGTTATAATAGTCATTTGTAACTAAAATGTCATTATTGAATGACTTTATTAGTAATCTAAATCAGTAGACTACTTCTTTTACTGTACTAGTGTTTTCATTGGACCCTGACCCAGTCAGTGGTCGGTAACTGTGAAACATTTGTTTCGAGACCTGAAGGTCTTAATTTCGACCCCTGAGGAATGCTGAAGAGTCCTGTACTAGGATGAAACATCTATCCAATACTTCCTAGTTGCCAATGGTACTTCTTTAGTGAATGCTACTTGCAAGATTGTTGGTAAGTATTGTGTAGCGAAATGTGACGTCTAAGTTGCTACATTTGTCAGACTAAGTGAGTTTTAGTCGATCGAAAGTATGGCGTTGGCAGAATACCTGGAGACCAGGCGACAAGATATTCCAAATTTCAGAACACACCGAGAGATGTGAATCAAAGATTGAAATCTATGTATAATGTATTATATAAATACTTTATAACTTCTTATAATAAATACATTCTTCCTGTCTATTGTTGTGTTCTACATTTCAACTAAAGTCAATCTATGATGAATACATTCAGCCCCCCCCCCGAAAACCTATGATCTATTCATATATGGAATATATACTGTAAATGTTTATAGTTCAAATCAATCGAATTGATGGATGTTATAACCTTAATGTGTTACTTAAATCATCAAACTGTCAATCGTCATATAGCTTATCATGAGTAACGTGTTATCATCAATGATGTGTTTAAATTAATTTCTTTCAATTAGTTATTCACATGATCTGTGAATTAGATTAGATCACATCATTACAAAACAATAAAATCAAATTTGTCCGATCAAACTTATTAAGATTATAATATATATAACTACATGGATTATACAAATGATACCAATCAGTTATTGTTATATCATTCGTAAATATGATTCTTTCTGAATGGTGGTGATGATTGTGATAGCTCAATCATGACTTATTGATTAAATCGTGTAAGGTTCAACCTGACTGTTTTACGTGGTTTGATTAGGAGAATTTTTGTCGGCTAATACTTGAACCTAGCAACAATTTCTATTTTTAGTACCATTTTTTCATTCATTTCAACACAGATATTGGTACAAAGAGCCTTTGACCTGAAGGTCTGATCCACAAGACAGTGGAGCATCGTAAGGAGATGAAGTCCCATGGAAACTAGTGACCAACAGTTGGTTCATGCGCCATTTGTTCCTTCACAATACTGGAACTCATGTGCACCACTGGTTTGGAATCCGGTAAAAGCGCCGGACATTCGCTTCTCGTCCTCTCATTTTCGTAAACATCACGCGTGGTGCGAGAAAGCAATGAGTTGGACTTTCCTGGCAGAGGCTGTGTACGCGTGGCCGTGTGAGAGCATTTCGAGATGGAGAGCGGACTCTCCCCACTATTGACCATATCAGGGCTTTGGAGGCCGTTCTTAGTTGGTGGAGCGATTTGTCTGTTTTTAGTCATCAATTCCTATCAGGCCTAAATAACTAGTTTTACTTTAAATAGTATTTATTTATTTTCTAACCTTTGAAAATTCTTATAAAACTTCTAATTATTTCTTTTATCATCTTTTTGTAGTACTGTGTCGTCTGGAGAAAGTGAACGAACTGTTGTTGACGTAAGTTTTGCTATTATAGGCTACATTTTATCGACCTATTTTCTGTTTATTACCATTTCATACTTTTTTTAATGGTATGTAGAAGAAAAAGAGTAAGCCTCATAATGATACTTACAACTCACGGATATTTATGGGGTATCGGATTGACAACAGATTATGGATGTTAATGATGGTTTGTTGAAGAATTCATTTATACTACCTCAAATAGATTTACCTCTCTGAATTATCGTTTAGTTCTGTATTACTTTTTTGTTATAAACATGATAGGTTCATCTAAAGAGTGCGAATTCCGTTACTTAGCTTATTGTTGAACACCGGTGATACTACTCGGCTATCCAAAATAAAGTAAATGGAGCGAAGTTCGGACGTGCGACTTGGTGACTAAAAGTTAACTATTGAACTAGTATTTGATCTGTCCAGGTTTGAATGGTGGTTTATGATCTCAGTCAAATTTCTTATCATCATTTTCCGCAGATCAGTATTCATTCATCAATTATTCGTTTCACCTAGTTCTCCAAGTTTATTTATATCAGCTTTTTCTTTAATCCATGTATTTTCCAACTTTGCAACACAAAATCCATAGTTAGTTACTTACTTAGGCCTGTTAATCCTAATGGAGCATAGGACGCAGACCAGCACTCTCCAACCCACTCTGCCTGGGCCTTCTTTTCTAGTTCCATCCAATTCTTGTTCGTTTTTCTTATGTCTGTCTCCATTTCTCGGTGTAATGTGATTTTTGGTTTTCCTTTTTTCCTTTGGCCTTGAGGATTCTATGTGAGGGCTTGTCTTGTGACGCATTTGGGTGCTTTCCTAAACGTGTGTCCTATCCGCTTCGGGCGCTTCTTCCCGATTTCTTTCTCCGCTGGAATCTGGTTTGTTCTCTCCAACGTGAATCAACAGTTAATTTCTAAATGAATGTCAAGAATTAGCTTTGGAGATTAAATAATTGACTATGAAAGCCGAGTTCCATAGTCAATTATTTAATTTCCAAACCTAATTCTTGACATTCATTTGGAAATTAACTGTTGATTCACGTTTAATTTCTATTCATTCAATAGTTATTTCGAATTATGATATGGTTTTTCGTTTCTATGTATAATAATATGTGTGCCAATTATTTTGGAATATCGGCCTACTATCTCTCTCTCTCACACACACACACTCTATCACTTATAAACACATACACATGTATACATCTTAGTAATTTTAATCTGTTTACTTAATGTTTTGATCTTTCATGTTTACTCAGAATGCAGTACACCGGTTTGAATCAATGGATAGTCAAGATGAATCATCTTTAATGAGAACGAATAGTGTAAGTTTAATTATGTTTTGGTAAATGTAAATGATAAAAAAGTGTCTATTATTATCATTTAATAAAAGAATGATAGTTCAGTGAAGAATATTTGCTTTTCTATGGTGAGATTTGGTAATGCTATACAATCGTGTTTGTACTTATACATCATAGTCTATGATTGTGTCATTAATATCAATATATTAAGAGTTGGTTGGAAAATTCAAATGGTCTAATGATTAAGCGCTCATTACGAGATATGAAGGTCTTGGTTTAAATGCTCCTGTAAGGTCGGGAATGCACGCTACTGAGAGAGATTTCATACTCGAATGAAACAATGTCCGATGTTTCCTAGTTTTTAATGGTTGTCTAATTTAGGCTGGTTCACGGTCTCAATAATATAGAAGAGAGATATATGAAAGATAATTATCCGTTTTTGACGAATCTAAGAAAGAGAAGTAATGAACGTGTCTTAAAAATAATTAACAAAACTAACAGGGAGTGTTGAAACGATGTCAAATAAAAGATAAGACATACCATCCCTGTATATAGAGACTACACTTGACTCGATGAAATGTCAAAGCCTACTTTAAGCACGAATTTTACATCCCGCTTCACTCGGAAATAGGCTCGTTTGACTTTGTAAATAATTTTAAATGAAGATTCTTTTAAAAGCAATTAGGTGCAACTGTTCCGTTATAGACTTTATTTCTATTATTATTCTAACACATAGATATTGATACAAGGAGCATCAAATACATATGCGCCACACAGATCTCATTTGATATGTGTGAGGGCTATGATACTGCCTGGGTGCCCAGACCGAAACAGGTGGTTTTCTTAGGGGGACACACCTGAAGGTCTGATCCGCGAGTCAGTGGAGCATCTTAAGGAGATGCAGTCCCATGGAAGCCCGTGACCAATAATTGGTTCATACGCCATCTGTTCCCTCAGGATACTGGAGCCCATGTGCATAATTGGTTTGGAATCAGGGTTTTCCAACTCCCCTAGGTGGACTCTTCATGTCCACCAACCCGGTTAAAGCTCCGAACATTCGCTTTTCGTCCTCTCAATTTCGCAAACAACACATTGGACGCGAGAAGGCAGTGAGTAGGACTTCCCTGGCAGAGGCTACGTACGCGTGTTCATGTGAGAGCATTTGGAGAGGGAGAGCGAACTCTCCGTCATAGAACTGTTAATTGATTGGGACTTAGCTTTAGATAACTGTACTAGGTAATGTTTCATTATGCGCTTGGAAAGTGGACGTTTCGTGCAGCCAGTATATCATGTTTCATATTGAGGTGGCTTGAAATGGAGTTTATCATTAATACATCTTTAGATCAGGTATGTACTGGAAAATACAATATGTGGCTCAGCTGTATAAAATATCCTTTAAATTAACTAAATAATCAGTGTTCAAGACTTCTGCAGCTGTTTCTCCTTTCAACTTCGTGTTGATGAACATAATTTTTTTCAGTACTGTGTTCTGGCTTCATGTTTTTGTAAGTGAACTTGAGAGTAAAGATTATGTCGGTTAGCGGCTGACATCAGCTATTATGTCCTTGATTTGTCTACCCAATAATATACAAGAGAGAACTTATTTTGATCTAGGTTAAGGCCTTTAGATGATAGGCTAACTTGTTTAACCGTGAGGCTAGAAATAAGTGAGTTCGAGTTGAGACTAACCACCTTGGGCAGAGAGATGAAAACTATTCTGTCATATAGTTGGTTGATAAGCGAGAGAAAAGACACGTTAACTGTAACACTTCTTGATTTCTTCCCGACTCAAATTAGTGTAAAAGGACACATGAATAAATAGTTGACTACCCAAGATCACAACCTACAAACAATTAGAAAATACGATTATGTCCAAACTCGGCATTAGGATAGGAAAATTCATTACCAAAGATTACGTTCAAATCACAATAACTTTGGAACGAAAAGGGCTATGACATCAAATGAAAGCTTATAATTTGTAGAATAAACTGGGTACAAAACTAAATGCTAGTGTTTTACAAACCTTGAACTAAGTAGTTATTTCATTATAGTTTAAAATTACTAAGTCAATTGTTACCAAGGTTCTAACTCAGGTTTCATGGTGTATGCATCATCTTTAAAATCGTTTTGAGTTGAAATCCCAGTTTTTAAATTCGATCATTTGATGTTTATAGAACATCGTTTATCTCCAGTAGGATGGACGATGATATTCTGTATCTGTTCAGTTAGCTTTCAGTAGAGTCTTCCTATAATGTTCGTTATTCTCATTGAACAATTACTGACATTTTCCTGCTTTTAATATTCCATAAGCTTCTGGAATATCAAGGTCATAAGTAAGCCTCTAAATATTCTTATTTTCTATGGTTGTAATAGCCTTGGACGCATAACGTTTTTCCATATTTCCTGCCTTATGTCTTATGGTTAAAAGTGAAATGTAAAATACATCTTTTGGTCTAAAGAATGGTTAAGAATTCAAAGGTTCGTGTACCAGACGTATTAATCTCACTGGTCGACAATATTGATTCCGAAATTTATCAACTTTATTTCATTTTCATATCAAAATTGGTTTTACTAATTACGATGGAAGATGGTCGCGCAATTTCGTGGATTGTTTGAGGTTAGACATCAACATCATTGGTTGCCGGCTGGTCCAGTGGTCTAAAGGTTAAGCGTTCGCGTGCGAGACCGAAGGCCCTGTATTCGAATCGTGGATGCGCACTACTGAGGAGTCCCGCTATAGGACGAAACGACTGTCCAGTGCTTCCACTTTTTCAATACTGGTATAACATCAATCGGTTCATGATCTCAGTCAAAAATTTAATAATCTACATAACCTTATGCTGATAATTAAATAAAATATGTTCATTTAAGTTTCGTGTACCCACTGATGATCATTGTTTTACCCTATTTATTATAATAGATATCGGTTACACTAAAAGAATGGGATATACCAATGGAAAATTTATTTATTGGTGAAATAATTGGACGTGGTACATTTGGTACAGTATATCGTGGTAAATGGCACGGTGAAGTAGCTATTAAACGTATAGATTTCGATCCAGAAGATGTTGATGATTCAATACGTGTTGAAGCGTTTAAACGTGAAGTTGCATTGCTACATAAAACACGCCATGAGAACTTAGTACTATTTATGGGTGCTTGTATGAAAGCACCTGATTTAGCTATTGTTACACAACTTAGTCGAGTAAGTGTTTTATTTCTGTGTATGTCCCTGTATTTGTATCTTATTTTCTTTTTTACTTTTAAGGAATTTTTATAATGTTAAGCAGTTGGAAGTAGTTGGTAGAAAATCATGAACCCAGTGTAGTGGATGCCACTTACAAGATTGTTTGTAAGTATCATGTAACGGAACGTTCTTGCATTTGTCAGACAGAGTGAAGAGTTTCAGTCCATCGAATATACGGCGTTGGCAGAACACTTGGAGATCAAGCGAAAAGACATTTCAAATTTCATAACACACCGAAAGATGTGAATCGAAGATTGAAAGCTATGCATGATGTATTATATAAATACTTTATAACTTCTTATAATAAATACATTCCCCTTGCCTATTAGTCGTTTGTTACACTAGACTGCTCTCAAGAGGCAACTCATTAGTGAGGTGTGCCTGGTATTTAATGGGAACTGATGCTTCTTGTGTTATCCGAATGTACATCACTCAGTTTCATATTTAGAAATGTTACTACTGATCTGATATTTTGTAGTGCTGAAGTACATTAGTTGATCACTGTCTGAGTGATGCCGATTCAAATCTTTCAATAAACACTAGTTCCTAAAAATTGCAGGTGCGGTTTGTTGACGAGTAGGAACTAGCAACTATATCGAATAAGGTTTACTACCTAACGTGAAAACATAATAAACATGATGTTGAGTCACTTGCACTTGTAGTCATATTGTAACTTAGTCGATAGAATTTGACAAAGATGATATTGGCCTTCACTGAATTAAGATCAGTATGATATTGATAAAAATTCAGCTAGAAATCAATGTGTAACTTATTTTGAAAGATGGATTTCTCTGTTCCTCTCTTTCTCTGTTCTGAAAAATCACTGATTGATTGGGCTGGTAAATGTTGTAGCGATGAAACTGCAGTTGGTATTGGTAATAACAAGATTATATTTATGTCCACAGGAGAATTCGAGTTGCCAGCTTTACAGAAATGTAAAAAGTGGTATTGTTTCCACTGAAGTTGTTTAGTATTTGTTATCCTATTTTGGGAAAGGTCGCAGGAAAATTTAACCTTGTAATCTCCATATTGAACTTTACCTCCAAATCTCTTTTAAAGCAGAAGGGTGCATACGACTTTGTTACACACTCATAAAACTCCATATTTTCAAGCAAACAGAACCGTGTTTTTTATGGTGGACATAACATGTTTTTCCAGTTATGTGAAGGAACTGTCAGTTTCACCAACAACTGAACAATTGAATTTAAACGCTTACCATTCTAGTACAACCCATTATTATTCGATCTGCTCATTTTTTGGCATCTCCCTCGAAATCCGAAACATAAAAATGAGTTCTAATTGTTTCGAACCATCGCCAAAACTCTAACCATTGATACTATCTTAAAGAGTTTATTTCTTTATTTATTTAAACATGAACATTGGTACGACGAGGCACCAAACAGATATGCGCCACATAAATCATTAGGCTTATGTGAGGGCTGAGATACTGCTCGGGTGCCCAAACCGAAGCAGTTGGTTTTCGTAGAGGGCCACACACAGAGCCACCGACCTAAAGGTGTAAAGCAACGTTAGGAGATGCGATCCCATGGTAACCGGTGGCCAAAAATTGATTCATACGCCATTTGTTCGTTAAGGATCACGGAACCCATGTATACCATTGGTTTGGAATGATGGTTTTCCAACTCCCCTAGGTGGATCCTCTATATCCACCATCCCAGTCAAAGCTCCGGACATTCGCTTTCCATCCTCTCAATTTCGTAAACAACACATTGGACGCGAGAAGGCAGTGAGTAGGACTTCTCTGAAAGTGGTGGTTTACACCTGACTGCTTGAGAGCATTTCGAGAAAAAGAGCTGACTCTTTCCACTCTCGGCCGTACCAGGGCATTTAGAAGCTCTTAAGGAGTACTGGAATGGTGATATTTGCAAGTGTAATATATCTTAAAATTATTAGTATCTTGTGTTTTTTTCCATATAAGCGATATATTGTTACCCTTGTTTTCTTTGAGTTTATGGATCAATTTTTTGATGGTTTAGTTAATTACGTGAATTGCAACTTACAAATCGCACGTTCGAAATTTTCTTCACACTTATTTCAATTCTAGGTCGTTAGGTTATATTGTAGTGCCTGTTATTATGTTAATCCCATATACCTTATTTCAGCTTTCAGACAGCCCATTCTATTCATTCAGATCCCGAGTCACTAAAGTGGAGAGCCCGCCACCGCGGACGAACTCAACGCAGCAACCTACGTCGATGAATAAACTTCTGCACTGTATACTTTCGACGAACGAATTCAGCGAAGCCAGCACAATATCTAATCCGACGCACTCAGCAAAGCCTGTACAGCACGTCATGGACATGCACGAATCGTATTATCTTGTCGATACTTTGTCCTTATGTCAACTATCCTCATTGATCCATTCGTCGGATCGATCCTTTATGAATCAAATGATCACGTCGAGCTCACCACTTTTTGTAAGACCCTGTATTTTGTCTTCATTTTTAAATCGGACGATGTTCGCCGAAGGGCTCTCCACTTTAGTGGCGCAGGATCTGACTCCAAGTAGAATGAATAGAATGGGCTGTTCGTAAGCTAGAATAAGGTATATAGGCTTAACATAATAACAGACATTACAATATCACTAACCTTATTAATGTGCCTTGTAACTGCTGCATACATAAATAGACCGTCTCACGTGCTTACTGGATTATATATATATTTACTGTATTCGTCTTTTTTTCATTTTATCTACGTACGTCTTTACATTTTCGTTTAAACTAATAGTATTAATGATCTTTTTCTTCTTCTTCAATAATCAGGGTGAAACATTGTATCATTTAATTCATGATCGTGATAATATTATGCCAATTAATCGTACAATAAGTATAGCTAGTCAAATAGCTAAAGGGATGGGTTATTTACATGCTAAAGGCATTGTACATCGAGATTTAAAAACACGAAATTTATTTTTAGAAGATAATTCACGTGTTGTCATTGGTGATTTTGGTGTATTCAATTTTGTACGTCTTTGTAAAAAAGCTAAGTAAGTTCACATAATTATCTAATAATGTATTTTGATTATTTTTATTTAAACTATTGGTACAAAGGGGCACCACACAAGTCACTTGATTTGTGTATGCGCTGTAATACTGCTCAGGTGCCCAGACTGAATAAGGTGGTTTTCTGAAACAGCCACTCTCCGAGCCTTCTACCTAAACGTCTGATCTATAAAGCAGTGGAGCAACGTTAGGAGATGCAATTCCATGGTAGCCGGTTCATGCACCATTTGTTTCTTTAAGGATAGTGGGACTCATGTACACCATTGGTTTGAAATGATGGTTTTCCAACTCCCCTAGGTGGATTCTCCATGTCCACCAACTCGGTTAAAGCTCCGGACATTCGCTTTTCATCCTCTCAATTTCATAAACAACACCGTCGAGAGAAGTCAGTGAGTAGGACGTCCCTGACAATCGGTGAATACGCGTGTCCATGTGAGAGCACGTTTCGAAGGAATCTGAAACTACCTACTCTTGGGGGCATCTATTAATGATTTATCTTTATACTTAATAATAATCCTAGTTAAAATTATTTATTTATCTTAATTATATTTCAACTAATGGCATCACTTCATTAAACTATTGATTGTCGATCAGAGCCATACATACACATTAGCGGGTTAAAATCTGCCTGGTCGAATAGGTTGAGTGAAATAACCTAAAATCGACCACAATACATTCCTTTAGAACGTGACACCTGTGATGATAGAATAATGGTCACTTCAGTATGCACATTGAGAAGATCAGTTAGGTGAAGAAAGTAATCAGAGAATATTAATGTTATTGATAATTTTGAAGAAACGAACGAAGTCCATTGATTCATTGAAAAAATAGAATGAAGATGTTTCATTAAAAATAGTTTCTTTTCGACGATATCGATTTCTGAAGTTGTACAAACCCGTTTATTGGTAACACTTTTACATGTAGTAGTCTGTGGTAAAATAGAGCAGTTGGATAAAATGATCGAAGATAGTTAAACTTATTCAAGTGGAAGTCGGTCAAAATAAAGTGGAACGGGTTAAAGAAGAACTTGTAGCGTTGTGTGTTGGAAATGACTGACTAGCGCTAGAAATAAATGAAGTGAAGTGAAGTGAAGTATTGAAAGCTGAACATCATCCACTCTGATGTTGGGTCGATGGGATTCGCCTTTAAATGTTTCTATTTTTCTCTTTCGTAATAGTTTCATGGAATATTCATTTGAAATGTTTCTTTGCATAACACAATAGTCGGAAGGCTATTTAATGTTTATTGTGACGTGTAATATTTGTCCAGTGTTTGTTTTGTTTAATATTTCATCAATTCATTTGTGACACTCATTATAGTTTGTCTTTATTATTATTATTATTATCGCAATCAGTATTTTGATCAGCATGATTACAATACTATCCGATAAAAATTCTTAAATATTTTGTTTAAACTTATAGTATCACCTTCAATCATTTAGCGATTGTTTCTTTGATTTATGTTAGCCCCCCCCCCGAAAAAAACAAACAATTGTGAGTAGCCATTTTTGAAGACTTTCTAAGATAACAAGAATATCATGTTTTCAGTTTTCAATTGTTTGAATGTGCAATTGACGACTTCAGTACGTACGGGACACTTTTACTCGATGTTATCAATCTTCTGCTTCCAGGCTATTCACTATTAATTAGTAATATTACTAATCATATCCACTGACATAAGTATCATACACCAAAGTACCTACACCAATACTACGACAAAAACCACTACTATTGTAGTGGACGCTACTCATAATAACGCCTATACATAGTAGAAAGCTGGAACGTGACTTCAAAGTTTTCACCGACTTCTGATAGCGAGAATAGTTTCTGAACATCGAAAGCACGGCCTAGGCAGAACTGTTGGAGACCATTCAAAACCAAGTTTAAATAGCCGAAACATTGTAAAATACAAACTGATTATGAAGTTGAGGTGTGCGTTATGTGGATAGTTTGTGATAACACGCAACACATATAGACGTTTTCCATATTGTTTACCTCTAGTTAATTAAAATACTACTACTAGTAACATTGCTATCCACACTACAAATACGGATACAACAACTATAGGAACAACTACGACTACCTATACCAATACCTTTGTAGTGAAGGAGAACACAGGTGAGGACAACCAAATTGTATTTAGCACAAATTACAGAGTTACTTGGTAAAATAAGAAAACCATATCGTCAATCGTTAATTTGCAAAATATCATTCCATCATATCAAACCGGACTGTTGCTGTTGCAAACACCAATCCATTTTCTCACATTTCATTGTTCATGCGATTTTTTACAAATTCCATTGTGTTCTCGCTCTTCTTTTCTGGATCTTCCCCATGTTCTGCTGTCAGACATTTCGTTCTTTTAACTCACGTTATTTACTACTTATATCAATATAAGTAGCACGCACCACACTCGTCCCCCCTTTTAATAAATTGCTGTCGTAGTCTTTCTGATCTCAGTACCGCTGTCTTCTTTGGCGCTTTTCGTGACTAACGACCATGCTGATATTGAAACCAGTTGACTAGCGTTTACTCGCTTCTGCTTGTCTTCTCTCCGGATCGTGTAGACTGAGCCGCGTCTCTCCTTGATAACATACGGTCCTTCTCACTTTGAGGTCAGCTTTCCCGACCCTGCTCCCCTTGCTATGTTACTTTTTCGTTCTCTACACTTTACTAGGTCCCCCACTGCAAAGGGTTTCCACGTTCTCCTCTGTTGTTCCGCCTTCTTTATGTCTGATATCTGTTTCTTTTCCACGTTCCTTATTGCATCCCTCCTCTCTTTTCTTAACCTTGTTGTCGTCCATTTCTGTTGTTGTGGCCAGGTCTTATTATGCATTGGAAGTCGTGGCTGTCTGCCATACATGAGTAAGAAAGGTGACTTCTTGGTTGTTCCTTGTGTGGAGGAACGATGCGTCAGCAAAATCAATGGTAACACTTTTTCCAAATTTCCTCCTTTAGATGCTAACCATTCCTTCAACGTCCGGTTGTTTCTCTCTGTAAGCCCGTTTGTCTGAGGATGATACGGTGTGGTTCGTATTCGCTTGATTCCAAACTGCTTTAAACGGGCTTTAAACTCGTCACTTTCAAAACAGGGACCCTGGTCAGTTAATATCATCTTCGGTATTCCGTGACATGCTACAATATGCCGGATTACCACTTCGGTCACTGTCCTTGCCCGTTGGTCTGCAATGGGTACAGCATCTACCCAACGTGTAGCATGTTCCGTCATTACTAGCAGGTACTGGTTACCGCTCGCCGTCTGTGGAAACGGTCCCATCACATCCATCGACCATAGATCACCGACTGCGGTTACTGGGATTCACTGTAATGGCGGTTGTGTGTATCGATCGCCTTTCATTAGCTGACACTGCTGGCAAGTTAAGACATATTCAGCCACATCGTCTCTCATGCCCGGCCAGTATGCACTCTGTCGTAGTAAATCCGTAGTTCTCGCGATTCCTGTATGCGCTACCTGGTGACACTCGTGTATCACTTTACGCCGCCAGCCTTTCGGGATCACCGCCACCCGATTCTCGTCATCGTCGTGCCAGGTCAGGACTCCATATGAGTTCACTCTCAGTCGTTCCTTTTGCCGAAGCAGCGTTATTACCTCCTTGTCCATTGTTCGTTTGTCTACGTCTGCTCCCTCTTTTATCACTCTGATTACCTCTCGAAGGTTAGGGTCAGCTTTCTGCTGCCGGACGAGTTCTAATGGGTCTCCCTCTAAACTGTTCACCGCGTATGCTGTTAATGGCAGGTCGGCTTCCATGTCTAGTCTCGACAAGTAATCCGCCATTACGTTTTCTTTTCCTGGAACATGGCCGATACTGAAGTCATATTTTTGCAGACGTATCATCCATCGCGCCAACTTCCCTCGGGGGTCTCTTTGTGGCGGCCCGTGATCTGACTCCATTCAGAGTGTAAGAATGTTTGCTATCGCCTATTCTCGTATATCATCGTCGACTTAAATCACGTTAGTCAATAACGGAATTTAGATAAGTCAATTAACGAGAATGGCCTTTGAATACATATATTTTGTATGTAAAGTGAATGCAATAGAACAGAGCAAAACGACGCCCAGGGAAGATGGCTGGGAAGCCAACTCCATTTCAAGCTAGGCATTACTTAATATTTATAGGCGGACAAAATAAACGACAGACATGTGATAAGTCACGGGACATGAAATGTACACACATACGCTCATATGAAAACAGTTAGGACTAATAAGCGAATAATTGACAAGGTCAAAATATGACTCAAATAAAATGAATTAAATAGGATGTCCACAAGTTAGAATAAGGTAGATGGGCTTGCCATAATAACTGACACTACATAGCCCCCTTGTAGAAAATAGCACATTTAAAAAATGTCTGTTTTCGAAAATAACACTGAAGTGATATGAAGTTAACGTTAGCGACAAGTAGCGAAAAAAAATTGTACAACACTCGATAAAGTACAGTGTCACATGAGGGGTGAATGTATTTTATGAAAATACATGAATATTGCAAAGGCGCGGACAAAAATGGAAATGTTAACATGCGAATATGAGCGAATTAATGAGCGTACAAAATATTAACATGTACTAATGTTATGACTGTCTGAACAATAAAATAACACGTTCATATGAACGATTCAAAATATCGTGAAAATAGTGATAAATTGTTTGTAGGTATGACAGCGAAATAAATTGTAAAAATAAGTAAAATATAATACGACAGAAATTGGTCTGTGATGCCGATAGAATAGTGAAATATGTTAAATATATGTTCTGTTGAGCCGCAGTAGAATAGGTAGCATCGACTAGTGATGAGTGAGTTTGAATTTAAATGAGTAGTTCCCCATTCGTAGAATGACAATAGGCAAGTCGTGAAATGATAACTGCATTGACGGGTGATATTCGTTGCTGTACTGCAATTGATAATAATCATAAAATGTGAAGTCAGTGAATGTTGTCGTCTGCGTTATGACAGATGCATTGAGTTATC